ATATATGAAAGTTTAATGTTTATCAGAACATTACAGAAAATAATGAACTTCATCACAATGTGCTAATTTTTTGAGAAGGACCTGTATTTAACATCTTAGTTTGTGCTGTGGGGCTTTATAAATAATGTGTTTTTTAGTTTTGTTTTTATGAGTCAGTGAATAAAGTTTCTGTTCCCATCTTTAAAAGACTGATGCTGGTTTGGGACATGTTAAAGTATTTCTACCATTAAACTGTTATCAGAAGAGTTGTCTCAAACTGCTATGAGCATGGAATTTTTCCTAACTTTTCTGATAGCGTTTAGGAAATATTGTGTGTATTTAAAATGTTAAGCCTGATGGTGAATGTTGATCCAGTAATCATGTTGGACTCACAGCCCAGAATTGTCTACATGGGGGAGGGTTTCTTTGAAGAAAGAATGAAACTGGAGGCCATTGATCCCCTCAACCTTGGAAACATCTGTGTTGCCACTGTGCACAAGGTAAAAACTGTTTTTGGATTAGTTTCTCTGCCTTCCGCAGAAACAGTAGCTGTGTTTCCATTGACCATGAAAATGCGCAAATTAGAATTTCGAAAATAAATTTGCTCAACGGAAACATGTCAGTTTCTAAAAAAATTACGTTTTTCGACAAAACGTTTTTGCGCTAGGATGAGGTGGTTTTTCAGCCGTATCGAAATTGGTGTTTTCCGCAAAACTACAATGGAAACACTTTTTTCGCATCATGGGAGTCATGATCAACAACCGGCTGTTTCTACTGGAGAAAAAGACGATGACGAAGAAGATAACAGGAAGTAGAAGTAGTAGTAATATCACAGAAGTAGTATAAAATAGTAAACTCACCGACTACAATTTCCCAAAAACACAGCATACGTAGCCGCTCCCAAGTAGGGACTTGTCTCTGGAAAGCCTCGATAAAAGACGCCGACATCTCCTCTGATGATGAGCGCTAGTGTCGTGGTAGCAACATGCTATGTGTTTACATCCATCACTGCCATGTTTGTAATGACTTATCATGAGAACAAACGTATTCACGTGACTTTTATAGCATTTCTTACTTAATGGAAACACTGCAGTTGCAAAACTGTTTTTTCGACATTAGCAGAATATCTACAAATTTTGCGCACATTTGCAATGGAAACGCAACTACAGTTCAGAATTTCCAGGATGTCAAACTTACATGTAGATTCACTATATCAGAATAAAATGTCATACATCTGGTGTTAAATGATAGATATTGACGATTTCTCACTTAGATATGCTTTATTATTTATGCAAAAGACCATGTTACCAGCCCGGGGTTAACACCAGATTTATGACATTTTATTATGACATAGTGAATAAATCTACATGTAAGTTTGACATCCTGGAAATTCTGAACTGTGCACACGAGTTGGGGTGTGGTCAAATTATTACAAATCTGCTGATACCTTGTTTGTAAAATTTGGTTGGTTTATAGCAAAGTATTGACAGTTAAAGTCCCTGAACCCGACTTTGATGGTCACAATGGAAAAAGGATGTGGTCACAAAGTGGTCCCTGGGGGGCAGTGAGACCCAACTTTTTTTTTCTGTTAACAAGTTTTTGTTGAAAGCGTGGACCCTAATGTACATGAGAACACCTGAGAAGTTCAGTGGTGGGGTGTGCATGGCGACCCACCCTAACCCACAGACTAAAAAGATGAAAATTTTCATCTTCTGTTGGGGTTGTGACATTTTGATCCCCTGATGACATCATCAACCACATATTTGTTTAAAGAAATGTCATGTAAATCAAAGAACTAATCAATACGATCTGCTGATACCGCGTTTTTTAAATTTGATTGGTTTATAGCAGGGACATTTGACATATTTATTTATTGATCTATCGCAGCAGTGTCCTTAAGGCCCACTTTCCTGCAGGTATTAAAGATTTCTCTGCTCCAACACAAATGATTTAAATCAAAGTGATTAACGGGTTTCTGCAGAACTGTGTCTCAATTCAGGGGTTGCAGCAAACGTCAACAAAACCCTGAAAACGTTGGCTGCATCTGAGTATCCTACACGGCCAACAGTATCCCAGAATTCATTGCACCGTCAGCAAACTAAACAGAAAAACAAACATGGCGGAGTTTGTTTTTTTACGGCAGAGTTTGAAAATTTATCACAGACAGAGAATTTGTTTGTAAATTAAAGTTAAGTAACTTAGCTGAAGAAACTTTTGTTGCAATCAGATGTTAAATAAAATGCAGTGACAAGTACTGGAGCTCCACCCAATTTATCAATGTTTTTATTTTATTTATTTACTGGTAACATTTTCTAATAAACGTGAATTTTGTGATGTTATACCTTGAAAAAAATAAATGAATAAAAGAAACAACTGAAGTGATGTGACACAAACCTGTGTTTTTTCTAGGTTATTTCACAGCCGTTTATGCAGCCGACACGACTGGTCTACGTAGGGTGTGGCCAACATGGGCCATGGTCTACATCGACTGCAACCCACGAATTGAGACCATGTCAGGTGTTTGGGAGCAGGACAACAAGTGAAACTTGCAGGATAGTGGCCCTTAAGAGCCAGGATTGGACACCCCCAATCTACCCAGGTTTTACACTCACCAGGTGTTTTGGTGGCATGACCCACCCTGCTGGACCAGCCTATCGGGTGTATGAGGGGACTCCACATGTGACACCAGAAGTCAGCGACTACATTCTCTGGCACGTCAGTCTGGTCTGCGTACACAAGGCGAAGACGGCCTCCAATGATGGAGTCTACGATGGCCACTCTGGTCTGGCTCACATGTCTGGGATCCACCACCTCCACCCGCATGCCAACTTTGAAAGAGGACTTCATGCTCTCTTTTAGCTGACCACATTAAAAGACAGAAAATTCAAGGATTAGTTCGATTAAATTATTAGACTTCTTTCACAAAATTATTCGCCTGCAGCCAAAGAAGGCAGATTTTTTTTTTTTTTTTTTAACAAAATACCATTGGAGTCATTGAACAGACTTTAGGAAGTAAACTTTGGATATAAATCTACAGCGGAATAACTTTTGGAGTTACTTTATTCAAGATGGCTGCTACATACATCTGATTTAAAACAATAAAAATTGTGACAGCTGCTTGGCCTTCAGAGGAGTTGGATGCTTTTTACTCTCTCTCCAAAACCTGTCCCTCCTTTCCTGCTTTGCAGCTTTTCAAGCCTTTCTTCTAACTGTCATCTGAAAACAAAAGGAATTATGGATTTAGTCAACTGGTCTCTGAACGCACTCAACACTATTTTTTCCACACTGAGATTGGAACGAGGGGAACGTAGCTGTCCCAGTGGAATGGTTGCTGCTTGCCGGGTCACTGGTTCCTGGAGCTGGAACCTGATCTATTTGGCGATGCTTTCCATTGAAGACGTGGAAGATTTGTATATATTTGGATTTATGATAACTGGATTCCTGCTGATCGGCTGTGGAGGAGTTCTGGCTTACTGGAAAATGAAAGCGATCCTGAAAGCAGTCCGGGCCTGTGAAAAGCTGTCAGGAACCATGGATGGAATCTCCTGTACTGGAAACGCACAGACTCAGATGCTGTGGCAGGGTTTCCCCTACCTGTAATTGATCGTGGCACACCGCCATGGCAAGGATCATAGCCGCCACACTTTCAGAATAAAGTTTTTTTCTTTTTTTTTAAATAATTGGCCTATATTAGGCTAAAAGAATTTAAAGCATATCATATATATTTATATCCTATATTTGTGCTCTTATACTAACCATAATCAGACTTGAAACCCTATTTAAACATCAATGAAAAGTTAAGATATACTTTATTTAAAGAAACCAACACTGCTGGTTCTTGTGTGCAGCGAGGTTGTGAGCGCTGTGTGTAGTCCTCATAAAGATAGCAAGGCATGTATGTGTGTGTGATGTGACGCTTGATGAAAACTGTCTGATGCGACAGCTTTGAGCTACTTTTTTTTCTTTCAAGAAAGACACAACAGGTGAAGCTACAGCATGTTTACCTTATCAATAATAACTCTGATACAGCAAGAACCACCAACACAGACCCGGTGTGACCAGGAGTCAGCGGCTCTGTGCCTGTTAGCGCTGAGCAGCAGCACAGCTACGAGCTAATGTAGCTAATGTAACGTCCCTCAACTTTTAAAAAAGTAACCAGAGTTGTTTGTGAACTCAAAACACCTTAAGTCCAGGCAGAATGATCTGCTGTGTCACCATCAGACCACAGCACAGACGGTCTCAGGAGCATTAACCCTTTAGGGCCCAGATTTAAAATGTGGTAAATAAATTATTTTCAGTGATTGAAAGGAAGGTTTTTTGGATATCAAAAAGAAAAAAATAAGTAGGTCCTCTGGATGAGTCCTTTAGTGAAACGTTTCGTCTCTCCTGTGTGATGAAGGACTGTGTCTGCAGCTTGATAGGAACTGCTTCTGGCAGCATCACAAACACTGAGAGTTTTGTGGGGAAAGGGGAAAAACTGCCATGTATATGGTTTACATTTTTGGACTGGTTTTTTATTTATTTACAAAAAAATCAAAAACGTTTCACTGCAAGTAGTTTATATACTGTCTAAATTTCATATATTTGATGTCAAATCATTTCGTTATGTACAATTGCGGTGATTTTTTCCTTTCCTAGTAAACTTGAAAAAACTAAATTCGTTTTTGGTTTTTATTAATTTAAAACTGATAATACACTATTTTAATATGCAATAAATTTCAAATAGCTGCCAGA